TTATCCAAATGAGAAATCAACCAGTCTATTTCTTTAATGATATTTAGCACATTTAGTCAACAACTTCCTACAAACCATACTGCAGAGTCATAGAGAATACCATATATAGTAATAAAGAAAGGATCTTTCCTTCTCAATGATACTAATTTTTGCAAAACCAATATATTAAAAGCTGCAGGGAAGAACGTATTCTCAGATTCTGGGAAAGTTGGCTCTACGTAAAAGCCCACTCTCCACACCTGACATCATGACCCATTTGTGCCGCAACGTTTGGCGCCAGCCCGTTTGCTGCAGGACCACCTGTTCCAGGACCACCTGCTGCCAGCCCACTTGACATGAGTCCAGCTGCTGTGGCCAAACCTGCAGTGGATCCACTTTCTGCCAGCATTGCTGCAGACCTTATTTGTGTGCTCCCTCCTGTGATGGTCCCTCTCTAAAACCAGTCGTCACTCTGTGAGGAGCCCAAGTCAATCAGAAATGCCACATCTAGGCACTCTGGTTAACAGTCCCAACTAAGCCCAGCCTTCAAGTCATCCCAGCCCAGGCACCAAGCACGTGGGTGAAGAAATCCTCCAGATGATTCTAGGCCCTAGCCATTTGAACATTTCCAACTGAGGTCCCAGACATCATAGATTATAGACTATCACTGCTGGGGAATGTCTGAATTCCTGATCCAGAGATTCCACGAGCATATTGGAAAATGGAGAAAGGAGAATCCTTGTTATGCAGTGGCAGAAAGTTCAGCAACACTGTCACGTGCAGTTTTGTGGAAAGTAGAAAAATGCCTGATGAACTGGGTGATCTAACTAAGGAAATTTCCAAGTAAAATGTTGAAGGTGTTCTTTGGTTTCCTCTTGCTGCTTATAAGGAAACGTGAGAGGAGAGAGATAAATTGAGCGAAGGACTGATAAACAGAAAAGATTCTGAACTTGATTGTTTTGAAAATTCTCAGCCTCTTTAGATGGCAAATGGTGCTAAAATTAAGAAATGACTTCCAAGAAAATATGAAATCCAAGGCACTGACAGAAAAGCATGGTATAAAGATGAAGCCCAGGTGTGGCTATAAGATCTTTTAAGATCTGAGAAAGTCAAAGGTTAAGAAATAAGAATTTTCATTTCAGAAATGAAAAAAATTAGAAACAGTTGGACACAGAAGCCCCTCTAAAGATATTAAATAAGTACCTCTCAGATAAAACAGTGGAGCTTCCAGAACCTCAAGGACATTGTCCTCACCTATCATAGCAGGGGCCTGAGGTAGAGAAGAGTTTACCTCAAAGTGATTTGTGGGAGTGACTTTTGTCTAATGGAGTAAACCCCAAGATAATTTGCAAGAGAACCACAATTTTCTTATAAAAATTATTTATGCAAAAACATATCCAGCTTGAACAGAGGAGTACAGAAACAGTACAGAATGAGGAGAAGTCTTTGGACCCCCAGAATTCTACTGGCAGAAAACAGGCTGAGATTGCTGCTCAGCCACAAACTCATGCTATTTTTCATGAAAAAGGAAAGATGATTCAGTGCTCGGAACCAAGATCCTAAAGGGCAGAGCCAAGAGCCATGGAGAAGTATTTCCAGGCATTGAAACCTAATCAAGGAACTTCCAACATTTGCCCAAGTAGATTTCAGAATTGAACCAATGACTTCTTTGTACCTCTCATTTCCTCCCTTCTAGAAAATGAATGTCTACAGCAGTTAACCTATGCTTGTCCCACCATTATATGTTGGGTATGTGAGAGCCAGATAACTTGTCTCTAATTTCACAAGTCTACAGATCTAGAAGAATTGTCTAGGAGCTGTTCTTAAGGAACCATGTCTGAGGAGATTTATCCACACTTGGACCTGATTTCAGTCGTGACATTCTAGACTTTGAGCTTATGCTGTTATAAGATGAGATTTGGGGGGACCTTAGGAGAGAGGGAATACATTTAGCATGTGAATCATTGTGAGGGCCAAAAGGCAGACTGTAGTAGGCAGCCTCTAAGATGCCTTCCCATTGTCCCACCTCCCGGTGTTCATGTCTTTGTGTAGTCTCTTCCCCTTGAGTGTGGGCTGGATTTACTGACTTTCTTCTAGTGAATAGAGTACAGTGAACATGGTGGGATGTCACTTCCAAGATTAGCCTGTAAAGGGACTGCAAATTCCATGAGGGTGCTCATTCTGTCTCTCTCTCTCTCTCTCTCTCTCTCGGACCACTTCCTCTGGGTGAATGCAGCTGCTATGCCACGAGGACAGTTAACCAGTGTTTGGAGAAGCCCACGTGGCAAGGAGACAATATCTCTGGCCAACAGCTGGTGAGAGCCTGTGGCGTGTCGACAGCACATGAGTGAGCTCGATGTGAATCCTCCCCTAGCCAAGCCAGGATATGACTGCAGCCCCAGCCAACACCTCAGCAACTGCCTCATAAGAGACCCTGAGCTAGAGGTACCCAACTCACTCACACCTGGATTTCTAACCCACAGAAACAGTGAGATAATAAATGTTTGTTGTTTTCAGCCACTAAGTTTTGGAGTCTTCTGTTATGCAGCAATAGATAACCAATATAATGAAAGAGATCCGTGTGTCAAAATGCAATTAAAATCTTTTATTCTTAATAATTAATACATTTTTGTATTAATTATGAATTATCAATTGTGATTGATAATAAACAAATGATAATTATATTAATTATTAATATAAATTTCAATTCTTAATAAAAATTTTATTCTTAAAAGTGGTAATGAAGGAAAAAAGTAAATTACATAATTTTATATTGTGTATGTAAATTCTTAAATTTCCAAAATATAATATTATATATTTTTCAAATACTTCATAAATATTATACATTGTTTATAGTTTTATATAAACAAACAGTGACTAGAAGGGTGCCCAAGGTTGTACCTGAGACGGGTAGAGATAAATGGGACTGGAGAAGAGTACAAAGAGACTTCAACTTTATCAGTAATGTTTGATTTCAGTCATATTTTCTGAAGATCCAAAGCAGATGTAAGAAAATATCAATTCTGGGTGGTGGGTGTTTGTAATATTTTTTTCAAAACTTTCCTGAATTTTTAAAGTTACTCCCCTACCCTGGACATAAATGTAAATAAAGATTTAGTTACAAGCATGTTCAGGCTCAGCAGAACATTGTTTGTAACAGGAAGTTCAGATGTTTTATGGATAAGTTCTAGCAAACCTAAGAGGAGCTCATAAATGCTGTCATTTAAGCTGTTGCCAAGCACAGGAAGAGACACAAAGCTTCCCAACACACCTTTTACACTCGACATGGTTAAAACGTATGGTTTCACATTGGCAGATGGCCAGTGAAAAACATTTGCCAGTACAACAGAGAAATCCGTAATTGGAATCGTAAAAAGAATAAGATAGACTTACACAGGTCAAAAAACTCTTGCAAAATGAAATTTGAACTTCCAGGTATGTCAAGAATTCTGGTATCAATAAGCAAATTATTTAAGGAGATGTAATTCCTTGAACTTATAATGTAAGGAACATTGTTGAAAATTCAGTTCCGGACTGAGGTAAGATGCGTCCCACTTCCCAGAGCCTCATCCTTCCTCTAGCATGACTGAACTCTCCATGAAAAATGTAGGAGAGAGAATTTAAACATGGCATCCATCAAAATGTCCTTTCTGGAAGACATTCCATATTTTGCCATATCAAAGTCCCTCTCTCTTTTTCTTCCTCTTTTTAATTTTCTTTTTGGACTTTGATTACAAATAATTGAGTCAATCATATTTCTTATGGGACACATTATTATCTTTGGAGCTTGCAAGGTCCGTCTCATTTATTTTTTTCTTTATGTATTTATATATCAATTAATTTAATTCCTGTTCTCCTTATGCCCCATTCTCTTCCTACAGACAGCTGTTTATTCTGTTTAATGTGTGTTCTCCGGCAGACAGCCTTCAGACTTCATCTTCACCATCAGATCTCCTGGTCTCCAGCCTGCTGGCCCACACTACTGATCTGGACTTGCCAGCCTCCATCATTACATGAGCCAATTCCTTTTAATAAATCTCTCTCTCTCTCTGTCTGTCTATGTATCTATCTATCTATACACACACACACACATACATCCTATTGGTTCTGTTTCTCTGGAGAACCAGACTAACACAATACCCATGGAAGGAATTACCATTTGTTGCCTACCCGCTCTCCCAGTGGTGGACAACAGATTTTCTTTAAGATCTATGAAGATCATAACAGAAAGACCACAGGGAACATCGTCATATGTGTCCCCCCATGGACCTGTGTGAGAATTTTTCGGATTTCAGACAAATTGTTTCACAGACCCACAGCCCCTTGATTAAAGGGGGGGCAGATCCCCTTGAGGAAGGACTCTGTGCCACTGCTAAAAGTACACACTGTAAATTTCCTCTAAGCTTTCCTCAAAAGAAAACCATCCAACCATTTAAAAAATGTTTAGATTCAATAATTACACACTAGAAATACAATTCCCTTAGACTAATTGTTTTAAAAACTGTCTCTTAAAATGTCAAGAACCTAGCAAACAACCTCCAAAAATTTCTAAAGAGTTTTTAATTTTATTTAAATTGGCCATTAGGTGAATTGATCATTAAAAGCAGTTTCAAGTGAATTAACCCTTGGCTATTCTCCATGGCTGAAACCTCATGCTTGTTTTAATCTGTGGCTTCCCTGGACCATTTCTGTCTTTGGCTTCCCAAGTCTATTCACTGTGGGGAAACTAAGGCCACTCAACTCAAAAGAGCTCTTGGTGTTGTAAAGATTGGAAGCCAAAGAATTGTTTGTCCTTACTCCCTTCCGGCTTGAGCATCTATAATTCTAGACACCAGCTACCCTTGCAGACCAATGCAGACCTACGGACTTAGAGGACCCAACATCATTGTGTTCAAATGTAACCTGAAGGAAATCTACGTAGGAGTGTATTGAAAGGAATGAAAGCACTCTGAGAGCTTTATTCATTATGCCTAACCAGTCATATTTTTATTAGCAGTTGGTAGCTAAGGAGTCTTCATTAAAAGAAAGAAAAACTGGAGAGAAAGCTTTGCTGAAGCGAAATGAATTGACATCGGGAAACGCAAGCTATAGTGTGGACCATGGTTGCTGAAAGGTTCTCCTTGGTTAAGGAGGATCTCTTGGTGGCTTGACAAGCCCTTGTCAGCACCTGGAGAGAATGTGGAGCTGGACTCGGAGTAAAGTTAGCAAGCAGAGAGCATGCATGCTTGGCCAGAGGCAGGCACCAGGTGGTGGCTATGCGCTTGTAGACAGCAGCAGACGTCAGGGGAGGTGTGAAGAGTGCTTCCTCAACAAAGCGTTCCCCTACAGAAGCTGGACTCCTGGCTATCTAGGAAGTCGGCAAGCAGGTGCAGGCTTTGCAGAGACTTGAGGGAGTTGGTCGGAAGCAATTGGAGCCACTACTGGACAAATTGCCTAAACCTGTCACACAGCAAGCTGGTTGGTAGGAAGGGGATCTGCAGCCACTTTGGTTGCAGGAAGTGGGTCCACCACAAGTTGGTTGGCCAGAAAGCATGGTTCCACAGGAGGCTGGCTTACAAGAGTTCTTTACAGAACAAGGGGGCTGGCAGTTATCCACTGGCTGGCAGAAGAAGGATATGGAAGGAGCTGGTACGCAGTAAAGTGGCCAGCAAAGGAAGGACACGCAGTAAGTAGGATTGCAAGAACTGAACACACAAGTCGATGGCTGGCAGGGAACTGATTGGCAAGACTTGAAAACATAGCAGATAGGTTGGTAATAAATTGATTTGCAAGGCTGATCTTCACCACCAACAGGTTGACATGAACCTGCTTGGCAGCAAGTTGGCTGGCATGGACTAGCCGCACAGATGGTTGGTGGGCAAGATGTTTCAGGACAGGAAGTTACCTCAGCAGAGCAGGATGGCTGGCAGGACTTACTGTCACAGCAGACTGATTGGCCACAAGCTGCCTGGCACAATCCGGACGTGTAGACGTGTTCCTGACAGGAGCCTTGTTGGCAGGGGCTGGGTTCACAGCACTTTACCTGATAACCGGTGGACTCTGAGCAGGAAGGCTGGCTTGAGCTAACCAGACAAGGAGACTGACCAGTGTGATATTCATAGCACACTGTGCAGGAGCGAATGGGTTGGCAAACAAAACCCACACAAGAAGTTGCTGGAAGGCAGGTAGGTTGGCAAGAAACACGTTCACAACCACTTGCGGAAGTGCTGGATGGCTGACAGTTTTCTTGGCATGTGACCAGTTGCCACGTTCTGCTCTGGCAGGAACTAGGCAAATAGATACCTTTTCGGAAGCTGCTGTCATTTGAGCATATGGAGATGGTGGCCACAGCTGGAACGGCCGCGGCGCCTCCAGGACAACAGCTGCCCTCCATGGTGCTGGTGCTAATCCTGCGGGGAAGTTGCAAACTCAGTATACCTGAGTTAGAAAGACATCTAATGCCTAGGGGCTTTTATAGTCCTTCGCTAGGGGTGTTGGCATGACATAGAGCATCTTTCCTTGTTGTTGTTTCCACTCATTTGCATACAAACATCTGGTTAGCAGGCTTCAGGAGCCTGGGAGATGTTGTCCCCACATTAAAAACTTGTCTATTGAGTTGGCAGTTTTCTCTGCTGAGTTTGGATTCCTTGATGCTACTCCTGCTCTGGGATGAGCTGTCTCTTTTACAGGATGTTCTCCAGCCTCCCTGAAGCTAGCCTGCCCCTGCACTAACCTCTCATCAGGGGGCCGCAGCCCAGCCAAAGCAGCCCGCTCCTCCGCCAGGAATGCAGTTCCGCACCATCAGGAAATGAAGCTCTGACCCAATTGAGAGAGGAGGATGTCAGAGATGGCAAGCAGAAAATCAGGCAGTGCATCCCAAGAACACTTCAGTGTCTCCACCTCTTTCTAGAACCTTCCCATTTGGCTTTCCTGAAACTCAACTTTACTAGTACAACTAATAATAATAACAAGAGTAATGCTTCCATTTTTAGCATACTTACCATGCACCAAGTCCTTGACTGCATTTTTTCATTGAATCTTTGCAGTGATCCTAGTTGGTGGGTATAATTGTCACCACTTTGCTGGAGGTAGCAAAACTAACTTAAAGAGTTTAAATCATGTTCCCCAAATTACACAAGTAATAACAGGTAGAAATAAGATTCAAACCTAGGTTGGGTTGACCCTGAAACGTCTGATCTTAACCACTGATTAGACCTTCTGGATTTTGGTGGGGGGACAACTCTAGTATAGTGATTGAAGGCTGAACCCATGAGCACGCTGGCTCATGGGTTACAGTGACTGTAACCAGCAGCTGGAGCAAGCTGTTACGAGTACTTCCCTTTTCTTATCAATACACCCAAAAGCAATCTTTTAATTTGGAAATTAAAAACTGCAAAATGTTTCATCAAGAAATGTTAAGCTCATACTATGGAGTCAACAGCATATGAAGTCTATAAATGTAAAAACACAACAACCAAAAGTGATGTAAGGACCTCACTGCAAAGCAGTTATTAGGTTAAATCAACCTCTTCCAAGAGGGATTTGTGAGGGGATTCCCTGATTCTTCCCTCCTCCTCGGGGCTTGTCCGGGCTCTGCAGCACCAACCAACTTCAGCATCCCACACCGGTCCACGTCCTGGTCTGCTTCAGCCCAGAAGTGCATGATGGAGTGGAAAGAACATGACTGTGGGAGCCAGAGAGAGCTGCTCTCAATTTCCAGCTCTGCTAATAACTCACCCTATTGGCCATGTTAGCTCCTTACCCAAATGTTCAAAGTACCCAGAGTCCCTCAGCTGCATTGCCGTTGCTCAGGTTATTTTTGTTCTTATTGGCTGCCTCACAATTATTGGAAATGCTGGAAGGTGATTTTCAAAGTACCAGATGCAAAGTTGCTTCTCCTTGGCATTCTCCTGCTTCCCATTTCATAAGGAAGAGAAATTTTTCTGATCAGAACCATGCCTGGAAATCCCTCACCCTTGTCATTAAAATGCCTTTCGTCCTACCATTGTTTTTTATATCACAGCATTGATCATTTCTTTTGCTCTCCATTTCATTGCTATTCATTTTGGCATCTCCCAAACTACAGGGATCCCTGCACTATGTTTAATTCCCGAATGCCTACATCCCAAAGCTCTCATCTCCCAAGAGGAAATATTTTTGGTCTTACTAAATAGGTCACTTAAAATGGGAACATGAATATATTTGAGAAACCATGTCATCTTCCATCTGAAAAAGGTGCCAATATCCTATACCCGTACATACCACTTTTATTGTTTCAAAGCAATCCATTTTTATATTTATATTTACATATTTTTCTCTGATTCTGCTCTTGCCTCCTCTCCTTTTAAAAAAACCTCTCAATAGGTTGGTAAAAGGGTACAAATTTCAGCTGTAAGAGGTGATGGATGTGTTAATTAACTAGATGGGAGGAATATGATATATACATATATTAAATCATCACAACATACACTTTAAATATCTTACAATTATATTTGTCAATTATACCTCAATAAAGCTGAAAAGAAAAGAAACCTCTCAATAGATAGAATTTTTGTTTTGCTATCGTTCAAGGCACTAAAGACATCTAGTGTATCACCAAAGGCTGTTGTGATCACATCAAGAAATATGGTGATACATAAAACACATGGGCTTTGGACAGAACAAGTCGTTACCCCATTTAGTCATTTGTATGTTACTTACTTGCTGTGTGATTATCCTGAATTTTGTGTTTGTCATTCCCTTGTGAACATATATATTATATATATGTGTGTGTATATATGGTACATGATGTATATATTTGTATATATGTATGCATATGTATATGCATTCATGTATGTATACTCATACATACACGTATGTGTGTCTGTGTTGTTTTTGAACTTTAAATATATATGTGGTCTCTGAGGCTTGTTTATATCAATCAACATTACATTGCTAAGGTTCATCCATGTTGTTGCATGCAGCCATTGTTCTGTCATTTTCACCACAGCATAATATTTTATTGCATCAATATACCACAATTTCCTTGTCTCTGTTGATGGCCACTTGGATTGTTTGTCCTTCATATTCTTCATCTATAAAATAGAAGAAAGAAATCTTATGTCACGAAATTGTTGTGATGTACATGAAACACTGAGTTCATGCTTCACACAGAGATTTAAAACCCTGGCCAGCTCCTCTCTTGACTCGAGAAAGAAACAGAGATAAAGCCCAAGGGCCTGATGAGACAGTAACTCCAACACCAATGTGCAGGGTAAGTTTCACTTTGACTTTTTTCCTCTGCCCTTGTCTAACCCAGTGGTTCTGAAACAGGGGTAATTTTTGGCCCCACCCCACCCCACCCCAAGGATGTTTGCCAGTGTCTGGGGAGATTTTTGACCATCACATTCAGGGGATGCTGCTAGCATCTTGTTGGTAGATGCCAGGGATGCTTCTTAGCATCCTACAATGCACAGGGCAGCCCCCACAACAAAGAATTATCCAGCCCAAAATGTCAGTAGTGCCAAAGTTGAGAAGCCCTGGTCTATGCCCTACTGTGTTTAGGATAGCCCAAGCTGCACCTTGAAGACAAGAGATAGCCCTTCATTCTGTGTACTAAGTGTAAGGTGTCACTACTTTGGAGAGACACTGTCCTTAGAGATTGTAAGAGGCTATGTATAGAGTTTACACAAAGAGTGTGCCTTATAGGGACTAGGAGAACATAAACAAAGCTCTTGCACAAGAAATCCAGGTGACTTCCTCATTGTAAGTTTGACCCCCCCACTTATTTGCATCATACTGTAGACTCCAAAGCCATTGGCTTCCTCCCCAGTCTCCCTATATCCAAGACCATGCTCCTCCATTCAGTTCTCCACACCGAGGGCAGAGGGACATCCCAAAACCCAGGGCTGTTTCTGTCACTGCCCTGCATACAGTCCCTCAATGCCATCATGTCAGCCCTGCACCAAAACCAAACACCCCTGTCTTTCTTACAAGGTCCAACAAAAGCAGGGCACTCTCTACTTATCTGACCTCAGAGCTCATCACTCCTCTAAGCACCCCTCTGCCTAAGCCTCACCTAATGAACAGTGTGTTCACAAGCCCCATTCATTTGTATATGTTTCCTCTGCCTAGAAAGCTCTTCCTTCCTGGTTTCTAACTGGTTAATTCCTACTTGTGCTGAAAGATTCAGCTTCAGTATCGTATTCCCCAAGAATCCTTCCCTGGTTGCCCCATGCCCTGCTGAGTTCACAGTGCCCTGTGCTCACCTCTATCGTATTCCTTAGCACAATGGAACATAGTAATTGTCTCTCTGCTTGTCTCCCCAATGGAGAGTGAGCTCCCTGAGAGTGAAGACTGAGACTTTTGTCTTCTCATTCCTAGAGCCTAACACAATCCCTAACAGCTGTCTCATAATGCTTGTTGGATGGATGAATGGATGAATGTGATGTAGTTGAGGGCAGGCTGCCCCAAGATGTGTCACTCTGATATGTGGATTATTTTGAGCTGAAGACAATAAAGGCTCAGAAGATTCAGAGAGAAACTTTGACCTTCCTCCCCAATAACTGCCTAAAAGGATTTAAGATAGAAGACCTGTCCCCAGGGCAAGCCATCACCATAGATAACTCTGGGTATCAATAGACTGGGAGGGTCCTTGCTAAGCCCATTCTTATCAAAGTTCTGTTTACATTTATAATGGAAATCTCCATTTGTAAAGGTATCTCCCTCTCTGTACCAGGAAGAAGGGGGGACAACCTCATCTCTAGAAACTTATCAGTGCGGAAGGTGTGGCCTTAAATCTGCATAATAACCTTACTGCTGTTTACTGTACTTTTCTGGTAATCTCCTGTAGCTGACTCCCCCCACGCCCAACATCCTCCTTTGTCTTTACCTGAATCTGTTTAAGAAGAGAACCTCCACCATCTTGTCGAGTTACCCAGTTTTTCCGGGTTTCTCCCATGTATACATGTTATAAAGCTTTGTTTGATCTTCTCCTGCTATTCGGTCTCATGTCAATTTAATTTGTAGCCCAACCAGAAAGGACCCAGAGTGGGTAGAATATAGTCTTCCTCCCTTTAAAATGAATGAATGAATGAAAGAATGAATCTGCTCTCAAAGATGAAGCAAGTCAGCTGACAAGAATATGGCATTAACAAGAGAGCAATGAGAACAGCGTGTCACTTCAACTTAGCCACGTTTATTGGACAGTTAAATATCTTTATCACATTGAAGAGATCCCCAAGAAACATGAGCACACCCAGCAAGAGGACATGCATGAGGACAGAAAAAAATTTATGCCAGGAAAGACACTTGGGATGATGTGACAAAGTAGCTCTTCTCAGTTGGTGGCAGCAGCAGACAGGAACCAGAATATCCCCCTCTCAGTGCCCAGGAGGCCTTCGTTTGTACCACTAGGATACTGACATTTCTGATGAGTTCTTTGAAGCATAAGCAAATGACAAGTGATGGTGCAGATGGCAAAAGATTCTAGCTAAGTCATAATGAGCTTTGGGGAAGACAATCAAGTTTTCTCTCTAGCTAGTGGCTTGCTTTGCAGAACCTGGTGAGCTGAGACCAATTTATCAGTTGGCAGGTTTGGTGGCAGCAGGCTGCCTGGCTGTGGCCTCACGGGTGGTTGGGCTGGTGGGTTTGGCCTCAGTGGGCTGGCAGGGACTCTTCTCTGAGACCTCCCCTTTGCGGGATGTTAAGTCAGCACAATCCGGTTGGCTGGAAGTGGACTTTCTACAATCCCGTTTACAGGGGTCGGCACAAGGCAGGTGGGAGCAGACTGGGCGGTAGGAAACAGAAGTGACATAGGCGGGGCGGCGCAGGATGGAGTAATATGGGCGGTAGCAGGCAGGACGGTAGGATATAGATGTCACATACGGCTGCCTGTAGGTGATGGGTCCAGAGCAGATTGGGCGGCAAATCGGGCGGTAGGAAATTGAAGTAGTACAAGGCTGTTTGCTGGAGCTGGGTATGTAGAAAGTCTGAGAGCAACTTGGTTGGCAGATGGCAGATGCAGAAGATCCCAGGCGGCAGCAGAGAGGTTGGCAGGAGGTAGATGGGCAGGAAACGGGCTCACAGCAGACAGACCGAGAGCGCTTGACTATGTAGTGGGTAGGTTGACATGAACTGGACACAGAGACACTTGGCGAGCAGGGCCTGGGCTCAGAGGACATGGGTTGGCAGATGCTGGAGATGCAGCAAGAGGGCTCTTGGCGAGTGCTGGAGACACAAGGTGGCTCACAAGGGCTTGGAACACAGCAGACAGGGCGGAGGCAGACAGGCTTACAGACCAGAGCCACACAGGTAGCTGGCTGGCAGATGCTGGGCTCCGAGCAAGATTGCTCCTGGCAGCTGTTAGCCACAGAGCAGACAGATGGACAGCAGCTAGGTGTGGGGCACGCTGGCTGACAGCCAGTGGGCTCACAGACCACTGGTTGGCAACAGCTGGGTTTGCATACAATGGGCTGGCAGGGAGTGGGTACACAGAGGACTGGTTGGCAGGAAGGGGTCTCACAGCTCACAGGTTGGGCATAGCTGCTCACAGAGCAGGAAGGCTCACAGATAGTGGCCTCACAGCTCACAGGCTGGGCACAATTGCTCACAGGACAGGAGGGCTCACAGATAGTGGCCTCATGGCACACAGGTTGGGCACAGCTGCTCACAGGACAGGAGGGCTCACAGATGGTGGCCTCACAGCTCACAGGTTGGGCACAGCTGGTCACAGAACAGGAGGGCTGACAGATGGTGGCCTCATAGCACACAGGTTGGGCACAGCTGGTCACAGAACAGGAGG